TACAAAGAATGTTTGTTTAAAGCTGCAGTCTACTGTGCTTCTATTCTGCCTTTCCTGGCCCCTCCCCATCATTAATATGCTAATTATATATTTATATAAAACCTGTTTTCATTACACGCCTTATTTTATTTCTGGTGATGTCATCACTGAGTCTCTGTGCTTGTCTATGCAATGCAGGCAGACCATGGCCGGGGGAGGGGCCACCAGGGTGCGGTACATAGCTTCCTGAAAACATCACAATGATAAGAGAGCGGCTGAGGCAGAGAGCACAGGAAGTGATCAGCTCTCTGGATTTCTGGCGGTCTGTCCGGGGTCTCTCCATCAGACCCCCCCACAATGTCCGGGATCCCTCCAATCAGTGATCGGTCCATCCGGGGTCTCTCCATCAGACCCCCCCAATGTCCGGGATCCCTCCAATCAGTGATCGGTCCATCCGGGGTCTCTCCATCAGACCCCCCACAATGTCCGGGATCCCTCCAATCAGTGATCGGTCCATCCGGGGTCTCTCCATCAGACCCCCCCAATGTCCGGGATCCCTCCAATCAGTGATCGGTCTATCAGGGGTCTCTCCATCAGACCCCCCCAATGTCCGGGATCCCTCCAATCAGTGATCGGTCTATCAGGGGTCTCTCCATCAGACCCCCCAAAATGTCCAGGATCCCTCCAATCAGTGATCGGTCTGTCCGGGGTCTCTCCATCAGACCCCCCACAATGGCGGGATTCCTCCAGTCAGTGATCGGTCTCTCCGTCAGACTCCCCCCCATGTCCTGGAATCCTCCGATCAATGATCGTTCTGTCCGGGGTATAACGTTCCCCCGGTTGGGTCTCCCGGAATTGTCTCTTTATTGGGTTGCAGTTGATGTCCCTCCTCCCCGGGGTTCTATGGGATCTGTTTATGTTTGGTCTCCATGTGGGGATGGCGTAGGGATCGGGGCAGAGACATATAGAGATTAGGAGGTCTGTTTTTAGCCAGTTACGGAGCAGAGGATAAGATTACAATGTATAGGACGGCAGTACACACAGGTTTCCTGTAGGGGGCGTCATGCTCCTGGTCTTGGTGTTTGTGGTATGACATCTGGAGAGAGAGAGGTGAGGGGGGCTGTGAAGTAGGAGGAGGAGAGCGTCTCATACCAGTCTTCTCTTAGCTCCGGGATAGCTGTGTGTTCTTTGCTCCTGTCTGC